TTTTTCGTTTTTCTCAAAATGAGTTTTTCTTAACTTTCGGTACATCTTTCTTGAAAACTATTCGACCTGAAAGGTTCCAATTTTCCATAGTTGTTTATCATTACTATTTCTTTGAAACTATGCAGGATATAAAATTTACGAGCATTAGTATTGGATATATTAGTAATTTAATACTAATTTTTTTGTGATTTTTGAAAGAATTTTACTAATTTATTTTTAATATTTTTTCTTTTTAAGTAAAATGTAAAATACTGCTTATTATTCTTAAATGATATGTTTTTAACTACCATGCACGATTTGAGGACGATTGGTGCAGTACTTTTTAAGAAAACTGTACCGAACTAGCACATTGTCAGAAGAGATTCGTCAAAGGTAAGTGAAATTAAACAACTGGTTTTTTAAAATATTAGGCATTTAATACATATTTTATGTGTTTTTTGTAATTTGTAATCTATGCATTTTAAATGAAAAAAAGAATCAAGTGTATAAGTTTATTTTGAGAAAAGTTATACCTTAATAACTTTTGTCCCGAAATAGTTGCATTTTGCCAGTCGACATGTCGCATGTCCCCTTAAGAGATAATAGAAGTAAAATATTGCAAGCACCTCACAAAAGAATAATGTTTATTCCTTATATTCTTACATATAATTTATATTTCAGATGCTAGAGATTTAAACAGTGAAGAACCGCTTCTTAAAACCTAGATTTTCAACTCTCGACAGAAAAAATGAATGATTCAGACGATATGCGCTTGACATAAAAATGCATGTTATTATGCAAAAATATTTTTTTCCTTGTCATTTAAATACATTTATTTTTTGGTATTGCGTCGAAGAGTGTCAATCATCAGTTCACCATCTATTGCAACACTAAGATAGTCGACGGTATTTTCAAATATTAAATGTTAGAAGAAAACAGTTTTAAAACTACCTGTGTATGATAGTGTGGCTGATGGGTAGAAATTCCGGCTGACAGTATCCCGCAAGTGTTTGTGATCCTGCGATGTCTTATCCCAGACCACTGGACGTCTTGTTTCCTGGTATCACAGAAGGAAAGATATCTGCTTCTGAATGATCTCTTTTGTTACAAAGCTCCCTAGAACTTCATTTTTTGGTCTGACAATGCGAGGTACCCTAATGCTAAATAGTAAATAATACAATAGGATAAAAAATATCAAAACATACTAAAGCGGTAATATATTACATTGATCTAAAATTTAAGGTATTTCGCCTAATCTTTAGAATATGGTAACAGGTAATTTGGCGACATTTTGGTAAGGCGATAAAGGTTACTAGTTAGGACTTTAGCAATAATCTGAGAAGTACACAGTTCGAATCACAGATTATTTTGTCTCAGAGAAATGAGAGATCATGAGACATGTCGTGTGACATTTTCCGGAAAATTCCGATCGTGATTTTAGCAAATAAGCACTTAGAAACAATTTCGTTGTTAAAGTGCATAATCGCCCACTTATTTGTTTGGTGCTTTTTACAAGAGTAAGAAGAATTGGATTTTTGTCAATTTTCTTTGACTTTTTAAGTAAAAATAGGTCGATGTGTACATAGATAAAATCAAGAGTGTGCGCAATGCCATTTTTGTGCAATTCTGGGATGTTTTTCTAAGTGAAACTAGGTGGACGTGTACATGGATGCCGTGTATGTGCAATTCTTAAAAAAGCGGGAAGCAGTTTGCGATTCTGCACTTTCTCCCAATTTCGCACCTAATCTTCGTCATGATTAAGTATTTTTGTTCCATAAAAGTTCTAGTATAAGCGTAATTCGGCTAGCAGATTGTTGGAAAAAATGTTGAGTAAAAAAAAAAGAACATGCCTTTACTTCGTGAAAACAAAATGGCGTCCAAAACAAAACTAGCAGGTTGCTGTAGCAGAAATGGTTGCCAAATTTTCACCAAAACATCGCCAAGTTACCATAATGTAAAGATTCACCGGTATTTCAACTATTTGAACTTGTCTACAGTTGTCAGAAGAGGGGACATGGACAAATGATACTAGACTAAGAATGATTTTACTTATACACAATAAATCTACGCACTAAATTATTGGTGCAATTAATGCTGAAAAGCACATGTTTTACTGTAACTCTTAAAGATATTATTTGCAAATACTTTACATTAATCGCTTCCGCACATTATCAAATAGTACATGATGTTTGACAAAATATGGTTTGAGATTTACTGTTGTTAATAAACATAAAATCTAATTGAAATTTCTAAATAATTTAGTAGAGACTCTTATAAAAACAGTCTCTCAAATGTTTAGTGAACAGGATAGGTGATGTAAACATAAAATAGATATACATTTTTATAGTATCCTGCTACACTAAAATCTCTAATTAGTAAGTTGTTCATTATGATTTAATTGGCTCGTATTCACGTTGCACATGAGGGAAACGACGACGACAATACGATTACCTGGGATCGAAGACGAATTGAAAGGCTGTCTAAAAAAACCTAACCTATCATAAGAGGACAAAGTTTATTGTCATTAAAAGATGTTATATTTTTAACTTAGTAGAAATAGATTTTTCTTGGATTTTCCACAATAAATTATGCCTCTTAAAATTAGTTTTGACAGATATTTCTGAAAAACTGAAAGATTTAAATGTGTCAGTTCTAGAAAATAATTTTAACATATTTACGTTAAAACATAAAATTTAACATAAAATTTAAAAATGTTTATGTTAAAAAATATGAACTTACAGGAAAATAAAGCTCAAAGTGTATCTTTCGAAATGCTTACAACTATAGATGCTTTTATAATTGAAAATTACTTTTCCAAAAGAATTAATTCTGAAATTTACGGAGTTGCTTAAGTGTCTGGAGACACAATATCAAAAATAATTTCCTTCCAATTTTGAAGTTGGAAATGAAAATTGTGTTCATAAACCATAATCAATAGAAAAGATTTCAGTCATTTACCATTGAACGTCCAAGAAGAAATCGCTTAAGTTATCGAGGGAATGCTGTTCGAAACTTTAGTTTTCCAAGAAATAGTATTACTGCCAGCGGCCAAGAGGTAAAGCTGCTGAACACTAGTAGTTCGGTTCGAGGCTCGAATCCGTCTGAACGAGCTGGCTGCATGGGCTTTTTCGTGTTTTTTCTTATATGTAACATGTATACGAGCTAGTTTCCGTTAGGAAGTCCTCCACAGAGGCATCCTTCCACTTAGCCGTAGAGTGCTTTGCCATATTCAAATAAACCAAATCAAATCAAAAAATTGTTAAATGAGTTTATGCTGAACATACAGCAGAACTACAACATTTTCTGAAATGACGCCAATTATGTTTCGAATGTTATTTACTATATATTTATGGAAAGCGTCATTTTAAACATTTAAATTTACAAAATTAAAAAATCGGCTAATTGCAAAATATTGAAGAAGCTCTGTGTACTCTAACATAAAATATTCAAATAAGGTGTTGGTGTGTGTGTATTGAGAATACGGCAAAGCACACTAGGGCTATCTGCCTGAGGGATGCCTTCGGGGATGACTTTCTAAGGGAAACTGGCTCGTATACTCGTTACACATGGGAAAAACCACGAAACACCCATGCAGCCAGCCCGTTCGCGGGATTCGAACCGAACTACCAGTGTTCAGCGACTTTACCGCTCGGCCGCTGGTGGGCATAATACACGGTAAAATTATTGTACTTATACCAAAGAGCTGTTTTGAATAAATATTTTTAATGATTTATTATCAAATGTTTAAATTCGTATTTCTGGTTTATTTATATTTCCGCCTTCATATCCAGACTAGCAAATATTTCTACTGGAAAAATGAGTCTCCAAATGGAAATATTTGAGAAGCCGAGATTAGATCATTTTTCAAATTCTGTTAGCTTAGATTATTCGAATATGACTCAAGGCCTAACTAGCTAAAGGGGGGGGATGTCTCCGGGAAGGATTTTCTAAAGGAAATTCGCTCATATTTGCGTTACACGTGGGGAAAACCTCTAAAACCAACCATGCAACTAGCCTGGTATCGAACCAGGGTATTAAGCGGTCTTAACCAATCGGCCACTAGTGGGCTTTTAAAGTCTGTTACAAAGAGAAATAGGAAACATTCTATTAAATTTAGGGACAAAAGCTATAGAATAGAAGCCAATCGTCTTTTGGCGATTAATTATCTTGCACAAGAAAAAAAATGAACTTAATTTTGTGGCTGATTCCATGAAATTGCAATTATTAATATGTGCACTAATTTTGCACGGAAAAGTTCTTAAACTTTTAGTGTTTAATTTATGAAATAAGAATATTTTTTTTATTAATTAGGCTTTCTATTATAAGGAATGGTATTAAAAGGCTATATATTTTATATCCGCAGTCTCTAATTCTTCTGTCTCCAGCGCTAAAACTAATTTCATCAAATTCTTTGCCGTATTTTAAATACGTACCTAAAATTTTTATTTAAGTAAATAAAGCTTTGACCCACCTTTTTTACTGCCTTATAAATTTAATTCACAACATTTATGCACATATTATTTACACTGAATGCAAAAATATCAAAATTATTTATAACGGCAAAGAGCATGGGAAACCGTAGAAGGTACATGTTGCCCCCTTCAGAATCTAATGAAAAATGGTGCACGTAATAGTATATGTGTTTTTTCTATTGATGCAATACTGTCTTCTATAATCTACTTGTGAACTCCGCCTAAATTAAACAATCAGATTAAAGTATATGAAACTTTTTATTAAAACGGCTCCTGCATCTGCTTTTCGTGATAATTCAAATTTGCATGTTACAGATTGGGAAATTAAGTATGCCAATTTTAGCGGTAGCGGATTTAATAACAAAATACCAAATTTTTTTGTGTAATTATTTGGCTCCATCTTTGCCTGGCCTTGAAACATTTTTACAATGTCATTACGTGATGGTAAGATCTTCTCTTATTTAAGAAAGCGGTTTTGTAATACTTGTTCAGTCCCTAAATTTATCGCGAGTTAAAGAGAGATACTGCACTTATCTGATAAGCAAACACGTGAAGGAGCTGGAAATCAAAACAGCAACAGCTTGCTCTTTTTAATGGCGAAATCTAATGCACACATCTGAAACATGTGTTTTTTAGAGTGACAGATGGCTACTGCAAAATCTTGAAGTATCACACTTCTGTAATTACCGCTGAAAGGAATAACACATGATTGATATTCCAGAAAATGTGATGGGCACGTATATGTGAACCCGCCTTTTTATGACATCGGTCGCTATGGAAGAAGTAATAGAACTAAAAGAACCCCTTCAAAGAGTGAAGTGAGTAATAAATTTTATATAAAATTAAAATTATGCCCAAATTATACACGCGGAGTTGTTTAGTAAATTAGGATCAGGTGAATATGGAAAGAAATTTAAGTAAAATGATCAAATATACCATAAATGCATTTCAGCGCGTTAGGGTTAGATTATAAGGTTTTATTAGCGAAATGTTTTTTATTACTGCATGTATAAATTTTGTCTAACACATCGATGAACTTGCAAATTCTGCTTGATTACACACTATCTTCCTTACACTTAATCCAAATGATGGTACAGAAATATTCTTTCAATTTAAGATCCATAAACTATGCAGATACATTCAAGTAATAAAACATTTATGGTTGGTTCATGTAACTTATACAAAAATGCCGTGAAGGTAAACAGCATTCTTGCAAATTTTGTATGTTGTACAAAATGCAAGATAGCAATGAACTGCTATATTTAATATGTATTTTTTGTTGCATCTACTTCAAGTACTGAATGTTGTAATAACGTTTTTGGTAATTTCAAATCCAAAAAAAACAGATCCTTTTTTTTTTCAATAATTTTAAAAAAATTATATTACGCCCAAACAGGCGTTTTTTTCATTTACAGACGCACACACGTTTCAAGAGCATTTAGGCTAACCCTACACTGGGCTAAAAGTATTTAAAAACAGCGTAGCTATAGAATTTCCGATAGACAGTCTCGCGCTCTGGAGACAAAAATGTTTTATTCCCTACAAGCGTTACTACTGCTCGCTTTGAAATTGTTGAGTTTTTTAATCAAAAAAAAAAAAAAAAAAAAAAAAAAAAAAAAAAACCGTTAAAGTTTTACAAAATATGACATAAACAATAAAACAAATTCTAAATTTCAAATCTGGGAAAATTAGGGCGGAAGACTACGTTATTCAAAATCTGATGATTCTAATGTGTATTCTTAATTTTTTTTAGTTTCTTTTAATATAATACACGGCGATAATATTTGGTGGCAACAATCTGAAGAATCATACAACCGTTTATAGTGATTCGACGCAAAATGCCGTTTCGAGACCAACAACGCCTATTTGGGCTATAAATTAATACGTTATTCGAAAATGAGCATAACTGATAAAGCACTACAAAATTTAAAAAAAAAAAAAATAAATAAATAAATATCTGCTTTCAGATTTTATACGGGCTGGCTGTATGGGTGTTTTCGTAGTTTTCCCCATGTGTAATGTGTATACGAGCCAGTTTCCCTTAGAAAGGTCCTCCACGAAGGCATCCCTTCCCTTTGGCAGATAGCCCTAGTGTGCTTTGCCATAATTAAATACACCATACCACCAGATTTTATATTACGGTTAGAAGGGCCTTTTTCTTAACTTTTTGTGTGCTACCTTTATTTATTAAATGCCATGTTCTTCGCACTTAAACCACATAAAATTAAATTCAACAGCAATATCGCAAAATATTTAGAAACAGTAAAATAGCATATCTTTAAAATTTCCGATACACAGTCTCGTGCGTTGGAGATAAAATTTTTTTTTTTTTCGTCCAGTGTTGCCATTACTCGCTTTGGAATCGTTGAGTTTGTTAATCAAAAATTCGTGTTTAATGTTTATACACATGAAAGAATATTACATATTGATGAAAGAATATTAAATTTTTACAAATTTTGAAATGGATAATAAAACAAATTCAGAATTCTGGCTTCCAATTGCTTATGTTCGGTTGGAGGATTACATTATTCAAAATTTGATGGCTCTAGGTACCGTTGTTTTTTCACAATGCGAGAAACATGAGTTCTTACAGATTCTTCATTATTTAATTTCTTTAAATATAATACATGGCGATACTATTTGGTGGCAACAATTTGAAAAGTGTATCAGTGCAGAAAGTAAAAGGACGAAAAACACAGTTTTGAGACTAATAGCCCTTTGGGGCTAACGCTTCTTTGGGTTAGTAATAATAATTGCTTGTGCAACAATTAATAGTACACTTATGCTCGAATACACTAAATACACCAAAAATAAGCTTTGTGCAAGTGCTTTTGCGTTTTTATATAACTGCAATTTAAAAGCTGTGGGTTTTTTTTATGAATGAGGGAATTGATTGCGAAAAGTTTGTAGTCTTTAATAGCACTATACACGTTTATACACACACTAATAAAATCCTATTGTTATTATTTATATCACCGTTTAACACTAAAATACAAATGCAGTGGATAAAATATATACTGCATATGAATGAAATATTGTAATAAATATTTTCTTGCTATTCAAATCTAATCCAAGCAATTTTTCAACAAACTCTAATTCTCTGAGCATTGTTTGGTAATCGATTTCATCCCCTTCACAACGTCAGCCGATTTAATAGCGCCTTTGTTTTTGGTAAACCTAAACATTATCGTACCCCACATTTTTACGGTATGCAATAGCCATATCCTGATGCTCATACCATCTTCATACATTTCAACAATATCTTTATTTCACCTGCATGATGATCCTAACCATACGTTTCTTTGTTTGACTCTTCTTATTAAAGCGAACGGGCTGGCTGCATGGGCGTTTTCGGGGTTTTCCCCATGTGTAACGTGTATGCGAGCCAGTTTCCCTTAGAAAGTCCTCCACGAAGGCATCCCTCCCCTTAGGCAGATAGCCCTCGTGTGCTTTCCTATAATTAAGTACACCATCTTCTTATTAAATTCCCTAAAACTCGGTGTTAATGAATTTACAAAACAATTATGCGCAAAAAACAGAAAATCACTTGAAAGTTAAAAGTTGTAGCGCTGGTTCTTTACTGCGGCAGGCGTATTGACAGCAACAGCCATCATGGGCAGTCATAACATTAGTATCTCGAAAGAGGTAAACAAGTGTAGTGCGAGCAGTTATGACTCATCTAGCTTACCTCACATTCCAAACAAAAATTGGTTAATCTTTGGATTATGGTAACTTGGCAATTTTTGGATGAAAATTTGGCGACCAACCCTGCTACAGCAACCTGCTACTTTTTGTTTGGACGCCATTTTGTTTTCACGAAGTAAGGACGTGTTTTTTTTTTTTTTTTTTTTTTTCTTTTGCTCAACATTTTTTTCCAACAATCTGCTATGCTAGAACTTTTATGGAACGCTTATGCTAGAACTTTTATGAAACAAAAATGCTTAATCATAACGAAGATTAGGTGCGAAATTGGGAGAAAGCGCAGAATCGCAAACTGCTTGCCGCGTTTTTAAGAATTGCACATACACGGTATCATCCATGTACAAGTCGACCTATTTTCACTTAAAGAAACATCCCAGAATTGCACAAAAATGGCATTGCGCACACTCTTGACTTTATCCATGTACACTGCTAAAGTCCTAGCTTGTAACCTTTATCTCCTTACCAAAATGTCGCCAAACTACCTGTTACCATATGCCAAAGATTAGCCGAAAACTTTTCGCGTCCAAACAAGACATACATCAAACTGGACGTATTACAGCATGTTAAATCAATGGATCAGAATTATTTCATGGTATCCAAACCGAAGGGTAGACCTTGCAGTTGGTACGATAGGCAAAATCCTAATGCTAGCAATAGGAAGCTTTCTGAATTATTTGCTGCAACGTTGTTTTTGTTGCTTATGCTCACTTGTCTGACGTAATCATCCCAAGCCGGTGAAATTCCTCATAGCAAGGAGCGCTAGATTACGCCTGCTGTTGGCAACACCCTTGAGCACCATTCAGGTGACAGTGCGATTTAGCTCAGTCCCCCCCCCCTCAATTTTGATGGAAAGCACCCAGGGAGGGATGGGTTCGAGGGCCTTCCACTTCTCTCTCCTTCCACCAAACCATACGAAAGGACTTTCCTTTCGCTGCATATTTAGAGTGAATGCAGCCATGCCGCATCCGAAACTATATATTTATAAACATCCTTGCCTTCTCCGGGATTCGAGCCCGTGCCCTTCCGCACGGGAGTGAGCGACGCTAACAGCTATACCGGTTGGGAGGAATTTGCTGTAACTGAAACTCTTATTTATGTACGATGATTTTCACAAGACAAATTTACAGGAGCCACTTAATGTGAACGCGATTATTGTTATCATTTTGCTATGGAATTGCTGAAACCTCTCCTATTTTAATAATAAATCATTGGAAATATATCGTCGCTTATTATGATCAACAATCTGGTTAATGTCAAATCATTATGGGCCGCCCAACCAGGATAGTGTTTAGCGATGCTGACTGCCGTACTGAAAAGCCCGGGTTTGAATACCGGAGAAGGCATGGATGTTTGTAAATGCAGAGTGTCCGCGCGGCATAAGGGCACTCTAAATATGCGGCGAGCCGCAAATCCTCTTGAGAGTTTGATGATAGGGGAAGAGAAGTGGGAGAACCTAGGACCCGTCTCTCCGGGATGCTCTTCTTCAAAATTGGGGGCAGAACGGAGCAAAGTTGCACTATCCCCTGTATGATGCTCAAGACTCTAGCCAGCGACTGGCGCAGTCTTGTCTATTTACGCAATGCATATCGTAAATGGTCAAACATAAGATAAAATCACCAAATATGAACAAAACAGAGAATAGATATAGTCAAAGGACACATAAGTGAGGAATTAAACCGTGAAGCAGCTGGGTTTTGATTTAAGGCAAATATGTATAGACTCCCGTTTTCCAAATCTCAGAAAGATCAACTTGGACGAAACTGTTTAACGGAACGGAATTCTCGTTGACCTTGGTTTTTCCCGCCTAAATATATCTTCACTTGTTTTGAGCTTTACTATTTTATGGATATTCTGTTTGTTAAAGGTTGTTATTTAATTTTATATAGTAATTTTCATGATGGCGTCCAGCAAAAGACGTAATGATCTGAGTCTGAGGAATCAAGTTGACTTGCTAAAGCGTTATGATCAACTCCCAAAAATGAGGCAATAGAATTCTGCTCTTAAATTCAATATTTTCCTCAACCCTTCCTCATGCAGGATTTTCAAGAATCATTACGATATATTTTGAAAACAAAGCAAAATCGAGATTAAAACATGAAGCGAATGCGAAGCAGAG